CGAGCCCGTGGCATCCCTCTTAGGTCGAATTAATGCGACGCCCCAGGAAACGACGTCGACCCAAATCAAACCATCAGAGATATAAAACACCAGCGAAAGCTACAAACACCCAGACAATATTAACTTGGGGTATAAGGGAGAGTATACATCCATTACCATTTCAAACTTCTACAATATCCACCACATACAATCCACAAAATTTACATGCACACCGAACTTCTAAACTATATACCACCGATATCAAAAGATCAGTAGCCTGGGTATGCCCTATCTTCCAAAAATGGAACGCTTCAAAAGGTTTCCCTAACCCCTAAACTAGCCCCTACGCCCTCGAGATGGCGTCCACTCTGAATCCGACTCCTAAGAACTCAAGTCTGAATCCCTCTGAGCCATCTGCTCCTCTGAGGAGTCTGAGTCAGCCTCGATCTCAATCGGGTTATCCAAATCACCCGACTCTAGTGGAACCTCTACCTGCTCCTCCTCATCAGGCTCCTCTTCCGGCTCCTCCTCTGGCTCATTCTCGGGCTCGTCCTCAGGTTCTTCTCCCAGTACTTCTTCAGGCTCTTCCTCGGGGTCTTCTTCTTCTTCGGGTTCCTCCTCCTCCGGTATTACACCTAGATCCACTTCCATAGGATCATACCCCACGTGGGATTCTTCCGGCTCCGGATCATGCTCGGCCCCTGAGGGCTCAGGTGCTGCAGGCGCAGTCTGGTGTCCGGACTGTGCTAGGCTAGTCTCCAGACTAGTCATCTCACCGTCAAGAGGGGGTATGGCTGATGGGTCCCAATCCCCTACTCCGTTAAACGGAACATTAAAATCATGGATGGGGCCAAACTCATCAAACCCATCCCGAAACATCCGGGCGGTATAGGTATGGGCCTGCCAGAGGGGTAACCCTATGTCTACCCAGACTACAGGGGTGTGCTTGATCCAAGTCATATTATCGTCTATTGGGTATTCTACAACATTGTGGTCGGTGTGCATCGGGATACCAAAACGCTGTGGCGGTAGGTTCATGGCTCAGGGCGGGGTTCTGAAATAATTTGGTTAAACAACCATGAGACAACTCTCAATAAGTTGACAGCCTAAACCCCACTTAAGCTACCAGGTATCCCCAGACAGGTTCAAACACACAATCACTCAATATATACGTATCACACACATAAATGCACTTACCTGGGCGCGACCTGCACATTAGTCTCAGATACACAATTTTCAAACCACATACACATTCCAAACTATTCTCATGCCCAAAAACACATGTCGTATACATAACAATTCCGAATCCCACATTTCACACTCATTCATGCACAATCACACCATTTTCATTTTCCATCTCTTTCCTCGGCCCGCGTAAACACGCCTCAGGCCCCACATTCCTATCGCGACCCGCGTAAACACGCCTCAGGCCCGATCTCACTTTCCACTTGCCACATCACACATTCCTATCGCGACTCGCGTAAACACGCCTCAGGCCCGATCACATTCTCACTTGCCACATCACACTTTTCACTTTCAATTTCTTTCCACGGTCCGCGTAAACACGCCTCAGGCCCCACATTCGTATCACGACCCGCGTAAACACGCCTCAGGCCGGTTCAATTCCCCGCGTAAACACGCCTCAGGGATTTAGTGATCACGCAAACATACCAACACGCCATATTTTATCTGTACCCCGCATAAACACGCCTCAGGGCTTTTTAGTGATCACACGCACATCGCACGCCTCAAATCTCACACATTCACATACTCGGGCATTAAGTACATGCACTCAAATGCATCAAATTCGACCATCACAATTCAGCCCACAACAACACACCACCATCATATGGCACGCCATTTTACATCACAAATCGTGGCACAACTATCACAGCACTACACGACAATTTCACGCAATTAATTGCTGAATCAAACTATCCATTCCACGTGCCAACAGAATTTTCCAGCATTCAAATCAACCAATCTCAGCCCTTATTTGGCCCCTAAATTGCCACCAAAATACCACAATTTCATCCCTAAGACCCCTCATCCAATTCAGCCCCTAAAACCAAACTAAACCGCGTCTAAACTATTCCGTTAATACCCGATATCCTAAATAGGGTTTAGATTGTAACTTACTTGAAATTTCCAAGCAAGCACAACCTATCCAAGGCGACAAGGCGGCTGGAACGCGGCGGGTACGGCGGTCCGGCTGAACGGCGGCGATCGGCGACGGCGGCGGTGGCTTGCTCGGCCGGCTAATCACGGCCATGGGAGGGAGAGAGAGATCGGCCGAGAGGGAGAGAGGGACGGCGGCGAGAGGGTGGCGAGGGCACGGCTCGGCAACCAGACGGGCGGCGATGGGCGGAAGGTGGCCGGGGACGGCGGCGGTACGGCCAAGGGGAGAGGGGGCGATCGGTGGGTAAGGGAGGGGAGAGAGAGAGTGAGCCGAGAGAGGTGAGAGAGAAATGAGAGGGGGAGAGAGAGAAATTGGTCTAAATACACCAATAATTGACCCCCTTTTGGTAAAATAACCATCTTGCCCCTCTCTCTAATTTCCAATCAACGGTCACGATTCGTTCTTATCTTGAGATCAACGGCCGAGATCGAATCTTTTCCAAAATATCCAAGGGTAAATTGGGGATTTCACAAAAAGTCCAAGGGCAAAATTGTCCAAAAATTGTCATTTCTAAAGTAAGTGTAAAATTACCAAAATGCCCTTCCCCATTTACACTTGGCCTTAACAAAGTCCCAAGGGTAAAATGGTCATTTTCCATTTCTCGCCGAAATTCGATTTTTCTGAAGGATTCGGACGATTCTAAGGCTGATCATGCTAATAACAACGTCGTCCAAATATTCTGTCGTGACTTTCTAAATTTTCAATGCCCAACTTGGTCTCTAATTAATGACTAAATTTTAAATAACGTAACTTGAGCATATCTCAAACTAATGGGTGACTTTTGGGGGAAATTCGCACTTTTGACCCGTGGCCAATACTGAATCAAGCCATGCTCAAGTTCACTCGGGTCGTGACGACCTCGGTTGTCACTTAATCGCGAGGATCGATCGCTAGTTCCGACGGGCGCGATCGTTCGATATAGTTTTAGGGTCATTCGTCAGTTTATCTAGTGGTCAAGCGGAATCACCCACGATCCACTAATATGACAGCGGCGAATTGATCCCTAACTATCCCTGGATCGGCCTACATTGGCTCAAAATGTCACATCGACAATTCTATGGTCGAAAGTCAATTCACGATCGAGTTCCTTTGATCTCGCAAATTTAAATCCCCAATTAGCCTTTCCCTAACGGTTAGTATCCCAGGAATGATCAGTTCCGGGCGAGATCTAACTACAAGTACATTCATAAAATCATCCATTTCATAAATCCCAAGTGGGTAAAATTTCAGAATGTCACAAACGCCGAATCCATGGAGTTGATAAGCCATCCTTTCATAGTCGAGTCTTCTGTTTTCCACCTCCGAAAGCTAGGATCTATAGGCAGTGGCTAAGGAACGTCTCCATTGATATATCCCAGTTTGTCTTTACCAGTGATGTACATCTCAACAACCTGAGACCATAATCCATAGTTGGCTCCATCCAATTTAATTGCAATCTGAGATGAAACCGAATCATTCTGCGGTGTTGGTGTTGGAGGAGGAGGCTACGTCTGGTTCTGAGTGAGAATCTGAGTTAATCTGGCAATCAGATTCTTCAAAAAAGCTTCCGTGGTCGAATTCCCCCCTTGGTTCTGATGGGGAATCACCGCTCAGGTAGGGTTCTGATCCTCCATGGATCCAAAATCAATCGTGACAAAGATGAAGAAGATCGAGTAGGACGCACGCCGAACGGCGCAATAGAGAAAGCGAGCCAAAAAACCACAAAGATATTTACAGCTCACAAAGATGGAGTAGACAATAGGTAATCGAGGATTCACGTACAGTACTCACAAAGAGCAAACCCTTGGCTTTGATACCATGTTAACACAAAGATATTTCGAGGAAGAAAACCACATTCCTCACTTTTCTGTATTTCTTCTTCATTCATTTATAATGACCTAGAGGCGTATATATATACAAAGAAAAGAAAGAATCTTAAAAAATATATCGTCTAAACTAGGTAACTATAATTCTTGATTCTAGCTAATTACAATCATAAATATATTTGCCAGATACCCAGTTCGTGCATCTTTGCTTCATCGCACTCCTGGACCCACATTGGGAGCTCAAATCTGATACCAAGTTCGAAACTAAAATAATAAAAAAATAGTACTTGACCCTATAATGCATTACAATCAAGATGTATCTATACCAGAACAATTTTTAAGAACTAAAGCAATCTAACAAGGAAACTATCTATCATAGGAAATGAGCAAAAATTACAGAATCAATTTGAGTCTCATGTAATCAGAAGAAATTTCAGAATATTCTGATAATATCCCAACAATGATCAATATTCATCATAATTCCCCAAGATATCCAAAAATGACCTCCACAGGAAGTACATGAAACACATCGACTCTAGACGATGTGAAAACAAAATATAACTTAGTTCGTGTGCAAAGTAGAAAAACATCCGGTTTGGACCTTTATCCAGTATGCATGCTCTTGAACCATCTACAACGGATATTCTTTTCCCATGAAATTATCCGACCATAGAAGTTTCATTTTTGAGTAAAAACAAATACATATAGGATCTCAATACTTTCATTTCTCGGGTTTCGGTCCCGTCTTTTACCAAAAAAACAAAACAAAAATTCATACGGTAGTATCTCGACCTTAATGTAAGCTTGCATGATGAGAGGTAATAAGGACAAAAGGATAAAAATACAATAAACAAGTGGCCTCAGGAGTTCTCAATGTCATAGAGCTGCCATGAAAGATGCTGATCAGAACACAAAAAACGCCTTGAAATGGACAACACTGTTCGTTTGAGGCCACAACTTTCAGAACAACTTTCAGAGTCTTCAATTGAATGTCCATAACTCAAGCTTGATATAACATTTCAAGCTCAAACCAAAGAATGACTTTCGAGAAAAGATATTCTGTTGCCGTATCCATTCACGCGAAATACTACTATTGTTACCATGATTTGATAATTGAGTTAACTGGTGATATGTGAATTGAAATAAGCCCATGCCTGCACGGATAACTGAAACAAGCAAGACACAAGTGGGCACATAGAATTGTCAAGTATGCTGACTGATGAACTAATGAGTCATTCTTCCTAATTATCATAGTCTCAATAATGATCTGTCCAAGTTCATGCAGGTGGTCACTGATTGCGGGGAGACTTCCGGGAAGAACCGCAAACGACGTGAAGAACTATTGGAACACCCACTTGGCTGAAAAGGTTGTCTATCAGAAGCTGAAGGAAGACAACCCGCCTACAAAATTTGCCAGCTCGGCATGGCTCGACGGGAAAGCCACACTGGTGGCTTCAAGGACTCCACCAGGTGAAAACACTGGACAATCATCTCCAATGTTATCTCATCAGGACAAGGAGATTGCTTGGTGGGAAAATCTGCTAACCGAAAGCAGCCCCGATGAAGCGCTCGTCACCTCAACAAGTTGCTCAGAAGGACAGTCACGCACGAATTCGTGGCCTCAAGAATTTGCTATGGAAGAGGGACAAAATGGTTGGAATGAGCTCTCTTTCGATGCCGACGTTTGGGAATTTCTCGACTCGAATCCTCGTGCTGTTATCTAGCTATTGCTTTGGTCGATCTGTCTTAGTAGCTATTACTACTGAGGCAAACTCATGCGGTTTATGTGTTATGTAATTCTCCATAGTGTGCTAAAATTGGGCCGTTTATTAAACCAGTGATTGATGCATTTGACTGTAGAAGAAGCTTGTTATAGAAGTGGCTCCTTGTGAGAAATAATGTCTGCAAAGGAATAGTCACATTCGTCTTTAAATTTGTCATGTATTGTGAGTGTGAAGCTCATGATGGAAATGGTTGGAATTAACTTGAGAATTCTTGGTCATTCGAATGTGGTGAATAAACTCTACCTGAATTTGACATGCTTCGAATGGAAATTTCGAGTCGCAGTAAAAATTTTCCACACGTAAAATCAATTGATAATAAGTTGGGGCTTGTTGACGTCACCCCAAAACCTGGGCCTAATTATAGGGAAATACAGTACAATTCACAAGGCCCATCAACGGAATGCCTAATGAGCTCATCTGAAGGTCATAATAGTGCAATCCACAAATCTCATCGATGGAATACATGATTAGTTCATGGATCACGAGCTTCCAATTGACAGAGTTTAAGTGGAGTACAGGACATGTGGTCCCAATCAACTGGCTTGAAACAGGAAAGGATGTTGAAGACCGAGGCAAGGAGGGTCCATCGACCAAAGGAGAATCGTAGGTAAAAGATCGGGAGCGGTCACAAATCCCAAGAATAGAGAGCGAATCAAGAGGCAACAAAATATTCTTGCAGAGGAAGATCATGATGCATAATGGAGCGGGTCATAAAAGACATAGGAGGAATCTCTGGAAAAGTAGGATATCATTGTGACCTAGGTCAATTGTTGGAGCATCCAAATATTTAGTGTCGCGAATTGCCCACTTGTGACCCAGTTGGGGCTCGCATATTGTCCTAGTCCATCCCATAGGAATCCAAGCTTATGATGGCGTTCCTTTCTCATTGATTGCCAATGATTCACTGGTTATACTGTCCCTTTCTGGACCACCCAAGTGTTTCCCATTTTGCAAAGAACTCACGTGACCATGGTCCATACTCTGTTGCTGTGTCAACCAAAGTTCCGTGCGAAGCATTAATCTCTCAATTGGTCCCATCACATCACATTAATCTCTAACAGTTGATTTCCTTTCTTTAGTGGAAAATAGTCACGTGCGAAGCATTTTGCCATACATTGTGAACTTCACACATCAATCTCTAACAGATAACAGTGTTGGCGCTAATCTGAGCCGAAATGAGTTTCAAGACAGATCAATACGATTTTCAGAATGAGCGCTCTATTTCTAGTGAAGAATGCCAATCATTTATAAATTATGGAAATCTTAAGACGATCTTAGTCATTAGTCGTGCATTGATGTCTAATAAAATTAAGGTTGGATGCTTGAAAGCAACTATGATTGACAATACCCAGTGTCTGATGAAGTACTTGCAGGTTCTCCAAATAGCTGAAGGGATGTTTATATGATTCGGCCAAAATCATTAAGACGTAGGGGAGAGTGATTATGAGGGGAAGAATCACTGAGATTATCACTTTCATTTTCACCCGTGGTGTATGACGAGGACATGTTTCGAGACGACGAAATGGGGGACCCCAAGTTCAACACCCGGCCGTTCCCTTGAAGCTCTCAGAATGAGGGTGGAAAGCCTTCAGAGTGGAACGATAATCCGGATGATGAAACCAAGCTGGCAAAACTGCCTGGCTGAAGAGATCCGTATCACTTGAACAGAGGCAAAGTCGTACAAAAAATTGTTCTTTGGCTGTGAAACGTTGAGTTTGGCGAAGTCTAGCTCGAGTTGCAGTGTATAAATGTACCCGACGACTCAAGGGGATTGTGAAGATATGTTGCAGTGTTTGATGTTGGAAACAGATTCCTAAACATAATACAAAAATTGCGGAAAAACGTGCCCATTCTACGCTTGAATCACCGATCGTTCGAAGTATATTACGTGAAATGAACATACCTCTTTTACCACAGATTAAATGCACTTATCACAGCCTCGAGAGAGAGAACAATCCTTGAATTGTTGAACAAAGCCCCTTCTTCTTTGTCCTTTTGTGAGAATGAGTTTTCTGATCATGAAAATGCAACCCACACACACATTCTTACGTGTGTTCTCACTTTTTGTTTCTAGACAATAACTGCCAAGTGCAGTTATTTTCTTTCATGGGCTGGGTTAGCCCATCATGGGCGGCCCATCTTCACAAAGAAAATTCATCATCTCCCACTCGCACATGGTGGGCTAAACATTAACTCTCTCTTCTTTGCAATATTCATACTAGCAAATAATCCGTGCGACCAACATACTTCGAGAGCTCGTTGCGATGCATCTGTTAGGAATACATAGCAGCTCAAAATTGGGTACAACGTTTTCCGAGTAGATATAGTATGCAGTCCCCTAGATCAATCAGTCACATTTATATCCCCTTTGATCTCTTTTAGTATCTCATATATTGTATTCACAACTATGATTTACTTAAAATCATAATTGATCGACCTGTGAATACAAACATAGAATGTGACATCATAAATAAATTGATCTTCCTCTTTTCCTAAACCTCTCTATTTCAGTCCAGCACGCTTTTCTAGAAATGCCCCATTAGATCGAATCATTCATGACCATTGGCAACACCCTAAGATAGCGAACACTGAATAAAAACTTTGAGAATAGGTCAGAGTCGTGAGGGTACTAAATGAGGAACTCTGTATCCTCAAGAGTCTCACACGGCATAAAGTTGAGATCAAGAACTTTTGCCACTCTTATCGGTCGTCTCATGCATACGTAGTATGAAATACGTATTACAGTATTAACTCCTTTCCCATGGAGCGTATGTCTTTACATTCAATACCGTATAGATGATAGTTCAGACATACTCAATATCTAAACTTGAGTTCACGTATCTACTCTCCTAAAGAATCCATTAGAACTCACATCTGGCATCAAAGACAGATAAAGTAAAATATGTGGGCTATTTTACTTTCGGACATAGTAAATATTGTGTCCTCATCTTAATATTCAGTTAAGGCAACACTTGTAATTTAAGCTTGAGCTCTCAATTATCACCCAGATAATAAGCTTAAAAAAAATTGTCTCATCTCTATTTATCGCACAGTAAATAGAGGTGATTACCCGAGTAAGTGGGCTAATCTTTCTGTCAGACATACTTTCTCGATATAATGCACTAAGCATTGAGATGCATAAATATTAAATAAATTCATAGGCATTAATAATGAGAGAGCAACTTCATTAAATGTGAACACTCAGGGAAAAATACAATATTCAGTACATCACTTTCTACGCAGTCCCAGAGATTTTACATGACCATAGAAAACATCTCTTGGAATTGGCTTCGTCATAGGATCTGCTATCATTCTATGCGTAGATATGTACTGCAAGTTCACATCTTTTCGTGCAACCATATCCTTGACAAAGTTATACTTGGTATCTATATGTTTGGTCTTGCCATGATATTTCGGATCCTTGGTGTATGCTATCGCTGCTTGACTATCACTATTGACTAACAATGAGTTTTCAGCATTCTTAGCAGCACCTAAATGATCCAAAAATCTCTTAAGCCAAATACCTTCTTGTACTGCTCTTGACAACGCCACGAACTCAGCTTCCATCGTGGACAATGCTATACATGTTTGTTTCTTACTGCTCCAAGATATGGCGCCATTATTCAGTAAGTAAACAAAACCAAAGGTAGATTTCCTTTCATCTAAATCTCCTCCCCAATCAGCATCTGAGTAGCCTTCAAGTCGCAGATCCTTGCCTTGATAACTCAGTGAATAATTAGCAGTACCCTTTAGATACCTCATGATTCTTTTTACGGCTTTCCAATGTGCTTGACCTGGATTGGATTGGTACCTACTTACCATGCCAACTGCAAAACATATGTCAGGTCTTGTACACATCATAGCGTACATTAAACTTCCAATAGCACTAGCATAAGGAACACGTTTCATTTGTTCCTTCTCTTGTGGAGTCTTAGGACACAACCTATGGCTCAATCCTTCACCTTTTGCAATAAGAGTATCCATGGGTTTACAGTCTTGCATACAAAATCGTTCAAGAACTTTATTTATATAAGTCTCTTGCGAAAGAGACAATAATCTCTTGAAACGATCTCTTGAAATCTTAACTCCAAGAATATATGCAGCCTCACCCATATCTTTCATCTCAAAATTGGACGATAACCAACTCTTAATAGTATTAACCAACTCCATATTACTTCCGGCAATCAGTATATCATCAACATATAATGATAAAATCACAAATTGATCTTTGGATCTTTTGATATACACACAATGATCTTCATCAATCATTGTAAAATCAAACGCCACTATGGCATTATGAAAACGTATATACCATTGTCTCGAAGACTGCTTAAGGCCATATATCGATCTTAGAAGTCGACATACTTTTTGTTCTTGGCCTTTCACAATGAAGCCTACTGGCTGCTCCATGTAAATTTCTTCTTCTAATTCTCCATTTAGAAAAGCAGTCTTTACATCCATTTGATGTAATTCAAGATCCATGCTTGTCACTATTGCCAGAATAAGGCGAATTGAGGTAAATCTCACTACAGGAGAGAAAGTTTCTTCATAATCAATTCATTCCTGTTGATTATACCCTTTCGCCACTAGGCGAGCCTTATATCTTTCTATTGAGCCATCGGATTTGCGTTTTATTTTGAGAACCCATTTATTCCCAATAGCTTTGCATCCTTCTGGAAGATCAACCAGTTCCCAAACATGGTTTGACTTCATTGACACCATTTCTTCTTTCATTGCAATCATCCATTTTTCTTTGTTAGGGCAATTTAGAGCCTCATTTACATTCCTTGGCTCGTCTTCATTTTGTGGAGCGATCATGAAAGTTTCCCCTTCAATGTCAAAACGTCGTCGGGAAATACTTTTGCGACTTGTTCGCCATATGGGAGATTGTACACGTGGTATATCATTCTCCATTATGCTCCCACTTGGATTAGATAATGACGGAATCGTCTCATCAAAAGGTTGCAATTGAGATTGAGTCGAATTCAATTCCTCACTTCTCACATTGCTTCCACTTGGATGAACTTTATCGATTTCACTATCAGGATCCAAGGTTTCAAATAGTGAGTAGTTCTCACCTATTTCGCCCTTCTTAGGAAACTCATTCTCTAAGAATGTGACATCTCGTTATTCAAATTCAGTTATACTCCCACTTTCTTGCTCACCTATAAATACATATCCTTTTGAGATTTTCGA